TATTAGGACTCAAGAGGTAATGTAAAAGGTTTACTATCATATTTTTGTCAAGTGTCATCATCTATCACTACCATCGTCATCACCATGATCATCAACCTGACCATTATTATGTACCATGAATTATTATCAGTGTCATCATCATCATTTATCATGTGTCATGTATCATCATCATCTTGTATCATCATCTTGCATCATCATCATCACCATCATCATCACTATGTATCATTGTCATCATCACCATCATGTGTCATCTTCATTATCATCACTGTCAACTGACATCACAATATTGTTATCATAATCATTTTACAATATTTATCAAGATATTAAGTAAATAACAAAATATATATATAATATTTATCAAAATATTAAGTAAATAACAAGATCAGCAGGAACATGAAAGGTCAGTAAGGAAGCCCCAAATAAACAAACACAATGTTATTTAGAATCTCATCTTAAGACTTTATAAAAACAGGCAAAAGACGATCATATTTGAAAAACAAACAAACGAGAATAGACTAAARCAAAGCAGCTTTGACAAATAATTTTACAAACGATAATGTAATAAGCAAAAGTAGGCTTTGAAAATGAACCAAATTTTTCGTCTGCAGTCAGTTTAACTTGTCTCACTTCTCGATCGATTTTTAATTATTTGTTTAAATGTTGATTATTTGTAAGAAATATGGTTTTTCACAGCGTGTTGAATACAAGATCACGCGTGTGTCCTTTATCTATATCCTGTTCAAACAAAAACGTATTGATGTTGTCTTTGCGGTAAAGTTTTAACAAATATTTATAAATATATAAGCCYCACTTCTATATAAACGGAAAAAAATAGCTTAAAGCTACTTAAAACACAATGAAGATGAAAAAATATAATTTATTTTTAGAAATTTCTGCACCGCTTTTTTAGGAACCATTTCACCTTTTGGGCAATCTATTTTGGTTTCGCTAACGTCTTTTTAATCATTCCACGATTTTACCATCTGAACTGTATCTTATCACTAGGATTATATTTTTTTGGCCTAGAATTAAGATAAGGTTTTAGTTTTTAAGAGGTTCCCATTAAAATGCCGTGCAAAAAATCGCTCGAATTAGCGTCRTTTTTATATTAATTATTCATGCATTTTCTGGACAAAACAAAACCAGATAAAGCACACCAAATGCTTTATAAAAAAATAAGTTAGCAATAAAGATTTCAAGCTGTTGTTTAGGATTAAGGATAAATAGACTAAAGATCTCAAAAGAGTTAATAAGAAATCTTCTTATTGATCTTGAACGTCTGTTGATAAGACGAAGGAAAATCTAATTAMGAATTCTGTTTGGAAATTTGGTGTTTCGACTTAATTTGTTCGTCAAAWAAACGTTAAATCTGTACGTAAAGATATACTTCAAAATTGAACTTAAATATTTAAGATCTTACCTTGAAAACTATGACTACAGTAAGAACAAGTTCAAGAAGATGTTGTTTACTTAKGAATTACTCGTTCAAATTCAAATACAAACAGCTCACAGTTTACTTACTTTGAAGGGTGCTAACTCGAATTCCGGGGAAAATCGTTCATACTTTAGCTGTTTTTAGCCTATTTTAGCGCCACTTATCGTGATTTTTCAAAAAATTTTAGCTTTAAAGTAGAATAAACGTTTGAGCTGCACGTACATACGATGGATTGACTTTAGGAGATTATGGCTTTTAATCAGAARTATTAAAACAATACAGATTAGTATTGTTAATTGAAATTCAATCTACGAAAAAAAAGTACAAAATKTATTTTAAATTTATTCAAGAACGATTTATTAATTTATTGAAAATGCCTTGATAAATTTTTTTTTTGTCCAAATGATTTTTTTTGAACGAATTTAGCGAAAAATTTTCTCACTACTTGGAGTTCAAAATTTGCGCGCCCTTTTAATGTCAAATCTAACACAACCTTCAATCAACGATGCTGTAAGAGCAGAGACGAGTAAGGTGAGTGTAGCATATCTTGTTATTTTTTTAAATTAAAGATTTACTTGTTAGACATGTAGCTTATCCGCCATAGCTTCGATAAATCAGGCGGGGAAAAAATGCTTCAAAATATAATAAATTTTAGGTAATTTTTGCAACATTTTTTCGTTCAGGAAATTCTAAAAGCGCAAAGCCTGTATGACACTTAATTGGCTTCCGTACTTCACTTTAATGGGTTGGCGGGCGCCTTTGTAAAACTGATTCAAAGAGGAAGCCATTTAAGAGCCATGGAATTGTATGGTTGGAATGAACTACAGTGAATTCTGATTGGATGAAAGAGAAAGGGATTTTTTTAACTGCATACAAGAGACAGGTATGACGTAAGAGTGTGTGTCAAGTGGCGGGAATGTTCGGAGTCAGACATGACGTCATCACCGCCATGTTGGTGTACGTTAACAAAASATTTCTCGTTAGCTTCTCTTGTTATGTACACCAACATGGCCGCCATGTCTTTGTCATTTGAATCATTCACACCACGTGTCATCCTTCTGAAAATGAGATCGGTTTTGCTTGAGTTGTGTGCATATTTTACACGTGGTCTATGAAATGGGAAAACATTATACTACGACGAAATCGAATCTGATCTATAGCAGGATGCCTATAAACATTTAATATAAGACTATAATGATTTTACGTRGGCGTTTGATGCACAGCAGCTATAAAAGATAAAGCGACTCTAGAAAAACGACAAGCAACTCGTGCGTCATACGTAGTATTAGAACTAAAACAACAATGGCGTAATGAACGAGATTAAAGAAATAAAGCCGGCCCTTTTATACTGACGAAGTTGTCTGGTTGAGGAAAAAACTGGGCTCAGTTGAAAAATTTTTCTATGCAATTTCATCCGCGAAAGCCGTCAACAATCCTTAAATAAACCTAGAGGATTGATTTCGTGTCATTTGCGGTATCGCTTACTGATTTAGTAAAAACAAAACTACAAATGACTCTACTTTTGACCGAAACRCAGCTAGACGAGGTCAATATCGTTTGTGACAACCACACTGTCCAATTATCATCATTACCACGTCGTTATCACGATACCAGCTAGCATATGTCACTAAAGGRACTAACTACTTAGCTATCTGTTAAATGAAAACGCAAATGAATTTTTTTAAATGGAATTTAGAAGCTGACTTTTGGCAGAGGGACGAGAAAACCGCGAGAAATCCTCGAAGCACAGGAGAGAACCGACGACCAAGTTTAAAAAAGAAAAAAAAAATCATACAAGTTTTATTTTTTTTTAATTTTAGTTTTTAAATTTCTGTAACGACATCGTAAGCAAAGGGTCTTTATCCCCAGAACGTTTTTTTTAATTTATAGGAATTTATTTTTGAAATACCCAAAGATTCGTATTTCCCTTTTGGATTTCTGTCACRCTCAGCACCACCCGGATTTTTGAAATTTGATTTCCATCGGTTTATTTTCTAGCATTTGATTAACTTATTCAGCTTTTAAGTCACAGGGGGTTCAAAAATTCAAAGCACAATTTATGGCGATTTCATGCTATATTTTATTTTTAGCAACCTTGATGAACTAAATTAATCTTGACAGCCATTTAGACATCTGCGCYGTACACATGCAAAAACATCTGGGAAACAGATAAAACAGCTTCAAAAACTCGTTTCGCTAGGGTTTTTCTCTGCGTTCAAAAACTGGAAATGCTTCAATAAATGTCCAAAAATTATCCACAAACACAGATTTCTGTTTGTTTTTAGTCCTTTTAGTGTCCTAGTAACAGCAAAGCACAGGAAAACCCAAAATTCAATGAAATAATTACAGCATATTGTTAGTTTTAATCCACTTTCTTCCACGAGTGGTCGAAATAATTTTGTTTACGAGTTACTATGGAAACGGTTATAAATAACACCATTTCGGAACAGCCATATTTACCTTCGTTTCGTGTGTTTATTGCAAACTAAAAAACCCCGGATCGTTGAGTTAAATTACAAGGTTTCTATCTCTCCGATTTAACCAATTTTTTTCTACATTTTTGTCAATTTTTTGAAGTATTTAGAAGTCGGATTTAATTTCTAGTATCTTACAGCTTTAGTTAAAATTCATATATAAAAAACTAGAGTACGCCACGTTCGCATATTTTGGTTTAAATGTACCATATTATCATTACATGAGAGAAAAACTTKAACACTGCTGGGACTGTAATTTACTTTGAGGATCGAAGGCGATCGAAGCGATCAGAAATCATTTGATCTATTTAATAATTTTCCTAATTCGATCCGAAATGTATTGAGAAGCGGTCGTTCGTTCTGTTTACCATATTGTTTTATTGTCTTTTTTTTACCTCAATACGAATTTTTAAGGCTTCATTGGATAAAAATGGGTTGTGGAAGCTCGAAAGAATCAGGGACGCAGCCAAATAACGTTGCCCAGAATGGGAACGTTCAAACATCGAGCCCTAACAACAACAATGGTGTTCCAAAACAGAAAGACGACAAAAACATTTCACGACGTAGCTCTGCCAGCTCTAAACGAAGTAGAAAGAGTAGCTCTAGCAGCTCTAGTAGCTCTAGCAGCTCGAGTAGTTCAAGTAGTTCTGGATCGAAAAGGTCTGTAAAGGACTTTGCGAAGCAAGCAGATCAAGTTGATGGTCATGAGAAGGCGACCGAAGCCCCCGTAGCGACTACATCACCTCCGAAAGAGGAACRACAAAGAGAAAGCGCTAATCCACAGAAGGAACCCGAGAAAGCACCCCAGCAACCCAAAGAAGAATCTCCTCAAGAAACAAAACCAGAAGAAAACCAAGAAGTAAAAGAAACCGCTGAGGTTCAAGAAAAACCTAACTTTGATCAAGAAGTTCTTAAGAGGTTCATTGACTTGGACGCTGAGATAAAAGARCTTTCAAGTAAAGACAGAGAAACCTTAAGATTGGCCGAGTACAACAGACTGGTTGAACTCCATAAGATTCTCACAGCACAAACAGAAAAGGTTGAAGAACTWAGGCAAAAAACGTAAGTACCTTTTTTCAAACATTAGAGAGTTTTAGATTGACTTTTTTCTCTCCCCCCAAACGGCAAACGTGACCACGTTTTCATAGTTTTCCTTTATTTTACTTTACCTTTTGCAAACCTTCTCACCAATTGCAAATACTCTTTTGTTTTTCTACTACTTGGACTTTTTTGCGATTCTTTTTCAATAATTTAAAAGAATTTTTTACTGGTCAACTGACGTTTCACGTTTGACTTGAACGTAAATCTAAAACTCTCTATTAACAAATTGTTTACGCTTAAATTATTTAAGTGATAAGCTTGATTGTTTTGATTGCAAGATTTGTCYTGATGTAAAGCTATCAGAAATTGGTTAATAGTCGTAACTGTTGCTAGAACGAAAAAGGTTTTAGYGAGAATTAAATTATTTTTAATCATATAAGCTGCATCATTTAACCTGCAAAACTGAAACGACTTTCCTTGGGAAATATATTTGAAAAAGAGAAAGAGAAAGAATGAAAACAGAATAGAAGAAAAATAGAAAGAAAGTAAAATGAATGTTATTGTACATAGCCCATAACTAGACAATTCCTGGAGTTAGTTATCACTCATTCATTCGTTTTTTCCCCTTTTCATATTACTAAAAGTGATGTTTTTCATTGTGAATAACTTAAGTCATATTGGATTAATTCCCACAAAAAATACTTTAAAATAGTTTTCAGATTATAAGTGTTAATGGTAATTCCTTTTCTAACATGTGATATCTTTAGTATTTAAATAGATTCTTCCATGGTGGAGGTATGGATATTTTCTGGTACTCCACAATATACCCTCCACAGACCCTCCCTACCCCTTGGAAATTCCAATCCCCTCCATGGGGAGGCATGGATATTTTCTGGTACTACACAATATACCCTTCTCAGACCCTCCCCACCTCCGAGATATGCTTCGCTTGTCACGCATAAAGATTTCAATATGAGGCTACATGCTAAATTAAATTTATTCTTATGCCTGTCACGAACGACTGAGCATTTAGCACGTAGCCTCATACTGAAACCTTTGGGCGTGACAAGCAAAGCATATCTCGGAAGTGGGCTAATCCAATCCCATCCTTTGGGAAGGTATGGATATTCACCTCTTGCACTGATTCCTGAGAGGAATTGTTCTGAGGGACAAAACAATGAATTTTTTTTTTTTTTTTTTTGCAAAAGAAAAGACGGGCTATTGTTTTGTCCCCCAGAACAATTCCTCTAGGACATCAATGCCAGGGGTCTATTTTCTGGAACTACACAATATGCCCTCTGACTTTTCTTGTGAAGCATGGATATTTCTTTTGAACTATTTTTTTAGGAGTAATTTATCATATTAGGTGCATGCACTTAAACAACACACATTTTACCACTGTCAACACTATCTGAAATATAACTGTTAATTCYAGTCTGGAATACAATGTAGCTTGTCAGAGTGCCAATATTAGATTAACGTACATACAATATACACCAACTAGTTCATAATAAGAATTCATAACAATAAGGGCCGTTAGGAAACAATGTCAGAATTAGATAAACAGTTAGTAGCAGTCGGTATACATACTTAAACAGTGTTAGGGATTAGTGTCAGGGTTGTGTAAATGAAATAAAGCAGCCAGTCAAAAATATAAAAGGTACCGACTGATCATTTTTGACATATAGCAGCAAAAAACCAAATTTCAGCGTGCAGCTTGTACAGAGATCTTAAAATATCAAAACTTGCAGTCAATAATAATTTGCTGTGACTCAAACATTTGACTCACAATTTTTAAGATTCTAAATTAAATTAAATTAATATTTGTTTCATTTCTATTCTTATTTACTTTTGGTTATTGAAAGGAATTATCACGATTATTAATTTGTTTGAATTCAAGTTTTTAATATTTATTTTTGAGGCCAGTCATGGGTTTATTTGAACCAGCAGGATCTCAGATAGCTAGACCACTTTTGCTAGGGCGTAATGTTTTGCCATTTCAGACCATGTCTCTTAGGAATAAGTTTTTTTGTTTGAATGGTATCCATATTCATGAGTCTTCTCATGCGCAACTGTTAAACAAAGAAATGATACTCTAGGGAATATGACCCATGTTCTGAAATGGGGAAAATTTCCACATCCCAGGCTTAGTAAGTCAACCGCTGGGTTTCAATCAGCTGATCAAAGTCTTTGAATCTCATTATCTGCTATAAATGGTGGTCAAATACTGACTTTTCAAGGCTTTTTTGAGGGGGGGGGGGGGGGGGGAAGTTGGATACTACCACTCCAACTTGGGTAGAGGTGTGCCGCCAGGACCTCAAAACCTTGACCCCCCCCCCCCCCCCCTCAAAAATCTAATGGTCCTTTCCCTAAGATGATTATACCAAGTATTTTTTGCTTAATCTTACTGATTTAAATGTTTTTGGATTTTAATGCAGCAACAAAGAGTACCAAGATGTAGTTCATACTCAACACCCTTCAGTTAAAGCAATGTTTATCAACGAAGGGCAGCATGACGCAGCCCTCGCCARGGAAATGCAAGAATACATTGACGCCCTCAATCAACAAGAAGTAGCAGAACAAGAGATGGAAAGTACAAAAGAGAAGTACAAGAACATGTACAACGCTTACAGTAGCACAGCCGAAAAGTACAGAGAAGAAGAAAAGCGGCTTCAAGAGCTCCAGCTTGAACAAGAGAAAATACTTGGCCAAGTCTTTAACGACAGTTACGGCAGCGATAAGGAATGGAAGATTGAACTGGAGTTAGATATGTTGGAAGAGAAGAAGGAGAGAATACAGGGGGCCCATTTTAAGTGGACAAACGCTCAGAAGTTTATGCGTACAGCAACTGCACAGATCAATTGGGCTGCAAAACGCTGGGCACAGATTGGAACCCACAATGTACAGGCACCAATGGTAAATACTATAAATAAGTAGCGTATAAAATAATGTGAATTTTATCGAACCCTGAAATGACCTCTGGGCTGATCTAAGTCAGGGCATGGCTAACTCACAGTTTGAACCCTAAAACAACCTCTGGGCTGATCTAAGTCAG